GTAAATAAGGGAATATCGTGAGGGGCTGCTCTCAGGGTGGGGACAATGCTAGGAGAGGATGGAGTAGGTCTCCTCCCAGAGACCCTGTCCGTCTGGGAGCCCAGGCTGGTTGGCTCTGAACCTTGGTGTAAGCGAGCGGGAAGAAACATCTGGAGGCCCCCCATGCCACCCCCTGGGACCAGAGCACCTCAGCCCTCTCTCCCAGAGAGAAGGTAGCAAGACCCTGGGCATTGTTGAGACCCCAACAATGAAAAGGAATGTGTTGTGCCCCCAGGGGTGTGAAGCAAAGCTGGATGTGGCTGTAACCATGTTTAGTTGGCAGCTCAGCACATCAGCCGAGCAGGTAGCTGGGCTATTGGCCACATTTTTGTTCCTTCTCTGAAGTGGGAACAACAGAGAAAACCTCACGTACCTAGGCTGAGGTGACATAAAGTCCCAGGAGCTGGTTAAGACTGGGACTTTGACAGGGATGGGGGCATCTGTCCCAGGGAACCTACCTTTTTTGCCTTTCCCTGGTGAGGGGGCCTGCAAGCAGTTCCATGGTTTGGTTTCCCCTCAAAACCTACCAGGTTGATCATGAACAAGTCTGCACTCATAAGTTTGTGACAACTTAAAAGAAATGGACCAACCGGTTCCTTAAAAACCACAAACTACCAAAACTCAAGCAAGATGAAATATCCAACCTGAAAAACCCTATAACCATCAAATAAACTGAATTCATAACTACAGTGACCCTAAAAAAAGAAATCGCTACGCGCAGATTTTACAGGAGAAGTCTAGCAAACTCGCCAACAAGAATTAACATCCGTTTTACAGTCTCTTCCATAAAATAGAAGAGAAGGGCACACTCTCTAACCCATGCAACAAAGCCAGTATTACTTCTACTTCAAATCCAGATGTGAACAAGACAAAAATAAATTACAAAGAAAACTACAGACCACTATCTCACATTAATTAAGACACGAAAAATTCTCAGCAAAATATTAGCAATCAAACCCAGCAGTGTATGAAAAGAATTATATGCCATGACCAAGTGGTAATTATCACTTTTTTCAGATGGGCAAGGCTGGCTCAACATTTGAAAATCAGCCATTTATCTATCATATATACTGACAGAGAAAAAGCATTTGACAAACTCCAACACCCATTTGTGATTTAAAAAAAAACACAACTCGACAAACTAGGAACACAGGAGAAATAACTCAATTTGATAAAGAACATTTATAAAAATCCCACAGCTAACATCAGACTTGATGATGAAATGCTTTACCTGTAAAATTGAGGACAGCAAAGATGTCTGCCCTCATTTTGAAAGTCCTAACCACTGCAATAAGGTAAGAAAAAAAAATTAAGGCATATAGATGGGAAATGAAGAAATAAAACTCTCTTATTTGTGATATAATTGTCTACATAGAAAACCCCAGGGAATCTACAAAACAACCCTCCTAGCTCAGCAAGTACCTGGGATATAAGATCAACATAAAATCTTAGACGAGGTCATGCACACTCATCCTCAAAATGGCTTATCTCCCTGAGATAAATCCATGACCTTCCCAGGGTCGCTGAGGCCTTGCATAACGTGGTTCCAGCCTCATTTCCACCACTTTCCCTCTCTCTCTCCTCTGTGTTAGTTAATGATGAACTCTGTGAAAGCAAACACTGCAGGGGAAGGGGACGGAAATGATGGGAGAGGATCCTACTTTAGATAGGGTGACATTCAAGCAAAGACACAAATGAAGTGACGTAGCAGAGCATCCTAGAAAGAGGGAACTCCAGGTGCCAAGACCCAAGGCAGCAGCGTGCTCGGCGTGTTGGAGGAAACGCTGTCTGGCAAAGGCAAGTTGGGGAAGCACTGACTAGATGTTCTCCAGCATCCCTTCCAACACTGACCTTGGACCTGTGGCCTGCACAGGGGTGTTTTCTGGTTTGAGGCGTGGCTGTCTAAGGACCTGGCTGCTGGAGGGGTTTGGGGTTCGTGTGGCTCTGCTGATGAGCCTTGTGCTCAGGATGTCCTGGAAATGGGAATGAGAGGCAGCCAGGTCCCCTCAAACAGGCAGGTTTGTTTTCCTCTTGTCATCACTTATCAAATATTTGCTGAGTGTAGGGAACAAAGATGAATCAGATACAGCCCCCATCGGATCAGAGACAGCATGGCGGAGCAGGTGCCTGCAGTGGGGCTGGCACTCAGGTGGGTGGGTCCAGAGGACCCTCAGGCAGGGCTCTGTTCCAACTGCGGAACCCTGGAACTGGCTGTTGGGACCCCGGAGCCCTTTATCTCCCACAACCGCGGTTGCATCGTGGAGGATGCAGAGGGACAAGTGGGCTGGCTACGTAACTGGTTGGCCCCGTGCAAAATGAAAATGTAGGACCCTGTCCACAGGCAGGAGGAAAGTACTGTTAAAGGAACATGAAAAGCCTTTTCCTTGCCTCTGTGGCCGCTCTCTTAGTGTGTCTTGGTGATTTTCATTTGCTATTTAATGCCCTTCCAAGTCAGGAAAATATTGAAACAAATTATTAGTATGAGTTTTACCATTCTCTGTATATTGTACGCCAGTTTTAAATGCAAATGTCAGAGCATATGACCCATATATGGGGTCATAGAATTATGCCGTTTGGATATCGTGGCTTGTTTCCAGAGGGTCCTCAAGTGGCCAGAGGAAACTCCAGCCAGACTCAGGAAGGTTGGAAGGAGGAAGACAGGAAGTGAGGCCGCTCACAAGTGCCTAGGGTACCCCCCGACTCCTCACGATGAAGGGCACACGTGCACGTACCCTCGGGCCTGGCAGTTCACACCACATGCAAAATCACCCCACTTCACCCTGGCCAGGCGTAGGACCTGGCGAGGTCCAGCCAGGCATCCCAAGGATCTGTAACCCCTGCCTCAGGATATGCTCAGTGCCTGAGGCCGGGGTGAGCGAGAGGTTTCCTCCTGCCAAGATTCAGCCTCCAGCTGCCGCCTAGCAGACACGTTGGTGCTGCCCGCCCCGGGGGCAAGGAGTACCAGGGGACAGCTGCCACCGTGCTCTACCCCAAGACACCACGGGCACGTGTGCCGGCTGACCCTCCCTGTGTCCAGGCCCCTTCCAGGGAGAGAGGGCTGCAACCGTTGCAGGATAGGGGTGAAGAGGGGGAGCCCAGCATGTCCTGGGTGCCTGGGGAGCTGGTGGGAGTCAGGACCCGGTGTATGAGCTGATACTCCAGGACTTTGCTCTACTTATAAAACACAGATTCAAGGATAAAATTATTAAGACTTCGTTAGTCCACGCAGACCCAGGGAAAAGCCCAGAGGCTAGAAATCTACCTTCGTAAGCGGAAGGCAGGGAAAGACCAAAGAAGGAGGCTGGCCACTCCAGTCTGGTAATTAACAGAGTTTATTAAGGGAGACTTGTATATGAGGCATGTCTTAGGCGGCTGCGAGACTGAATGGATCCTAAAGAATTCTGGGGAGTAAAGCGGGGGAACAGTCACAGGTACTAGTTCATGGATGCTGCCAGGTACGGGGAATTGCTGCATGTGATTGACCAGGTCAGGACAGCAACCTGTTCCAGGAACCAGCACGTAACAGGAGGCAAGGGACAGATGCTGATGTATGTCAGAGTGAACGTCAGTTATGATGAGACAGTCCCCAGGGGGGTTGCAGAAAGCAACTGCTGTTGTGGCCCGGGTCCCGCTTGCAGGGAGTGGTCACGTCTTGGAACAGCCTCTCGCTACAGACTTTCACGTCGGCAGCGCAGAACATTGAGCCACAAGTGCCGGGCCCTTGTGAACCTGGGGTCCTGTGTGACTGTGCTGGTCACAGGCCCATGAAGCCAGCCTCGGGGAGAAGAGCTGAGGTCATTCTTCAGGTCACTTGGCATTTCTGAGCCTCAGTTTCCTTTTTGCCAGACAAGGTGGGAAGGCTCACCTGTCATTTAACAAAGGAGAGACTCTATAAGGTCACTTGGGGACGGAGCCTGGGAAACCAGCAGAACTCCAGGCCCCTGTGGGTGCTCTCATGGCGGTTCTGCTGCTCTGTCTCTCCCATTCTCCTGCTGTCCACTGGCTTCCTCTGCTTCCTTAGGTTCCTCCCTGGTGTTTACTGAGCACCTACTGTGTGCCAGACATTGTGCAAAGAACTTTGCATACACGCAGTCTTCACAGCAGCCCTATGCTGTGAGGATAACAATAGCACATATGAACGTGTACTCTGTACTGGGCACTGAGCCAAGTGCTTTTCCCATGTTAACAGATGTAATCCTCCAACAACCCTATGAGACAGGTACTGCTAGTCCCTTTCTACAGGTGAGGAGACAGACCTAATGCGGTTAGATAACGGAGTGAACAAGTTGTAGATGGCACAGTTGGGTGTGAACTCAGGCCGTGGGGGCCCCAGGTGCAGCACACTTAGGCCCTGCATTATGCCACCTCCCTTACCTCCCACCATGGCTCTGGGTTTCTGCCTCTCATCCCTTCTCCTTGCCCCCGGTCCCTGTGGACACCCAGCTTCAGCCTCCACCATCCCAGCCAGCCTTGGGCAGGTTCCCAGCAGAGGGACTCCCACCAGCCCCGCTTACCTCCTCACCCTGGTCCCTGCAGGTTGCTGGTCAGCTTTTGGAGTAGCTGCTCTAGGAGCAGGAGCCCATCCATACTCGTCTGGTCAGCTGCAGGAGTGAGGAGCCCCGGGCTGCCCATCCTGACCTATCCCATCAAGGCCTGGAGTGGAGGCCTGGTCTGAGGGAGGAGCCAGCATGTCCTGACCACCTGACCGCCGTCTAGGCTTTGGAATGTTGGGAGAGCCTTCCATTCCAAAGCCAAAAGTAGGGAGCCCAGCTGGAAATGACCCCCAGCCAGCGGTGGGAGTTACCCCTCCTCTTGCATAAACAAACATGGACTGGACCCTGGGTGGGGAGGACTTCCTTTTGGCCTGGGGCGTCCTTGCTGCCTTCCTGGCCTGGGCAGCTGGTAGTGTCTCTAGGCTGCTTTCCTCTCACCCTCCGTTCACTTCCTTCCCCACATGGCAGAGCTCCGCCTGGAAGGGAACTTCCTGCACCGCCTCCCCAACGAGGTCAGTGCCCTGCAGCACCTCAAGGCCATCGACCTGTCTCGGAACCAGTTTCACGACTTCCCTGAGCAGCTCACCACCCTGCCGGCACTGGAGACCATCAATCTGGAGGAGAACGAGATTGTGGGTGAGTGGACACCGCCCCTCCCCCCCTCCCCTGTCAGCACCACCTTCGTCCAACTCCCTTTCCTGAGTGAAGCTCACAGGGCTCAAGGGGCACCAGGCATGGGGCTGTGGAGTCACATTTTCAGAGACCGGAGGGCAGCGCTGGGCTTTCTGACCTGAGATGGCTGAGCACAGGGCACTGGGCCCGCGAAGGGAACCATTCTGAGACCTTGCCACCTACCGGGGGCTGGGTTGGGCACTTGCTTTCACCTGAGAGGTAGAAGGCCTCAGCATCCCCCATGGAGAGGCCTGCATAGCTGGGCCACCCTTGGGCCACAAGCTGTCCCCCTGGCATCTCTCTGCCAGCCGAGGCTGCCTCTAAGACCCTTACACATTTACTCCTCCCCGAGTCCCTGGCTCGCCCTTCCTGGTCTCCACAGTGCGCTCTTCACCATTAGTACGCGGGGCCACTGGGAAACAGGATTGGAACACCCTCTCTGCCTTCCCCCAGTCGCCAATGCTGCCTGTCCCTGTCTCTGTCCAGAGTGCTGGAGAGCAGCCCCCATGCTCTGCATCTCAGAGCTCAGCCTTGCTAGGACCTATTCAGGGTATAAGAGGCACTTTGGAACACAGACACGGGTCTGGACATGGACATGGATGTAGGCTTTGGGGAAGTGTTCCTTCGTTCACCAGCTGCCATTTTTTGATTGAGCAGCTTGTTCTTTGCCAGGCACTGTGTTGGAGACAGATGGACAAAGCGTCCTCCCGTTCTCATGGGGCTGGTGGCATGGTCAGTCACACAGCTGATATTCAGTGAGCATTTAAATGTGCTCATGTTTAAACCTCCCCATAACTTTATGAGGCGGATACTGTTACTCTCCCCAGGCGAGGAAACTGAGGCACGAGGAAGGTCAGTAACTTGGCCCAGGTCATGGCACCTGGGCATGGCACAAGGTCATGCCAACCCAAGCGGTCTTGCTTCAGAACCCCAGCTACTCAGGACAGTGCTTTGCGTAAGGAGAGAAGATGTTTGCACATAGCCGTAGGGAGATAGAAAGCCACCAGCCGCATAACTGGCTGGAAGGAAACTCTCTTGGGGTGGAGGGGACAGCGTATGGTGTGAGGCAGGACCTCCTCAGCCAGGTAGGCAATCGGCCTCGCTCCTGACAGCTCACCTCGTGCGCCGGAGCAGGTGGGCAGCGTCCCGGATGGAAGTACTGGAAGATCGGAGGTGCTCGAACTGGATGTACGTTCAGATCGTTCGGGGAGCTTTACAAAAACCCTGTTCCAAGACCAAAGCCCCTGCCAATTCACTCAGAATCTCTGATGATGGTTTTTAAAACTCCCTAGATGGTTCCAGTGTGCAGATGAGATGGAACCACCAAGCTGGATCAGAACCTCCTACCACCAATCCCATTCTATCCCTGAAGAAGCTGTAACCTCCCTTTTCCTCCTCCTCCCAATGACTGTCTGGTGTGTGTGTGTGTGTGTGTGTGTGTGTGTATGTGTGTGTGTGTGTCTACATCCGGAGAGCTCACAGTTGGCCCGAAGCAGGTCTGAGTTCTGCCTCAGGCCGGCCTGGAGTGTGTGGGTTCTCGACTTCATGTAGGAAAGATTTCACAACATGAGTCCAGGTGGGTTTGAGAGTGTGTTTATTAAAGCTGGGGACAGACAGTGAAACGGAGGAAGCATTTAGGATAGAAGAAACAACAGAGGAGCCCTAGCCGGTCTGGCTCAGTGGATAGAGCTTCAGCCCTCAGACTGAAGGGTTGCCAGTTTCATTCTGGTCAGGGGCATGTATCTCAGTTGAAGGCTCAATCCCGAGCCCGGTTGGGGTGTGTGCAGGAGGCAACCAATTGATGTGTCTCTCTCACATCAGTATGTCTCTCTGTCTTCCCCCCTCCCTCCCACTCTATCTAAAAATCAATGGAAAAAATCAATGGAAAAAATATCCTCAGGTGAGGATTAACAAAAAAAAGAAAGAAACGGTAGGGAAGAGCCTAAGTGGTGCTCTGCTCTGGCTCCTGGAGACATTATAAGGAAGAAGTGAGCCAAAGCAGGGCTGCTGTTAGCTCACTGGGAAGTCAGAGAAAAGGGGGGCCTTGGATACGGGATCAGGGCGTGAGCATGGGTCGAGCTGCTGCTGCCCACTGCTCCCCGGGTTGCAAGTCCCTTGGGGCCCCTTAGAGTTTCGGAAGAAATAAAATGTTCATGCCCAGGAAGGAGCATGGGCGTGCTCTAGAGGAGTCTTTGTCTTGAGGGATTTTCATCTTTTATTTTTCTGCTGGCGAGAATCTTAGGGGAGGGTTACAGCAGAATATTCATCAGCTTTCCAGGTGCATTGTTAATATGCTGATGCATCAAAATGAGCACATAGGGGAATTTTGGATTATGCTTTGATCTGTTTTACTGTTATCGTAGGTCTGTCTGGCTTTAATGTGGTTTTTGTTATTTGTTCCCCAATTTCATCTGTCCTTGGGTTTAGCTGGCACACATGGCGTTAATTGGGTCTTTGTTCTCCGTTTTCCCAGGCAGGGTGATTTACGCTATGCACTCCCTGGTCAGGGAGGAGGGCATGCACCATTTGCTCTCAGTGTCCTTGGTTGGGAAGATAAGGTCTCGTGATTCACAAGCCGGCTGCAAGCTGCCTAAACGGTTTGGCCTTGTTTAATTTTCTTGTCTCAGTTTCCCCATTCACTTGCCCGGGAATTTTCCTAGCTTCTTACTGTCCTGCCACATGTGGATTTACCTCCCTTCCTCAGGTTCCTCTTGCCACTGACCCCTGGGCCCAGGGCCCACAGATCCCCTCTCCTGGTTCTCCTGGCATCTTCAGAAGGAGCTTTACCAATAAGTCAGAGGCAGCGGAAGCAAAGCCATAGTAAGTGGGATAGTTCCCAAAGTACACATTTAGGCCCAAGAACCCTGGTTGAGTGGAGGGGAGCTGGCCTGCGCTCCAGCACCGTGTACTCGGGAGCCTGCAGTCCTGCCGGGGTGGGCGGCAGCGTGGCTCACCAGTGGGAGCTGGAGGCACTCGCTCAGGTTCAGTGACCTCGCCTTCATCTCATTTTGTTTCCCCAAATCCGGTTTCTCTGGCAGGGCCCTCTCTAACTCATTCCCACCTGGTGGTTATTTAGGAGCTATTCTTTCTTTTTTTTTTTTTTAGAGAGAGAATTTTTTTAAAATATATTTTTATTGATTTCAGAGAAGAAGGGAGAGAGAAATAGAAACATCAATGATGAGAGAGAATTATTGATTGGTTGCCTCCTGCACACCCCCTACTAGGGATCGAGCCAGCAACCTGGGCATGTGCCCTTGAATGGAATCGAACCCAGGACCCTTCAGTCCGCAGGCCGACGCTCTATCCACTGAGCCAAACCAGCCAGGGCTAGGAGCTTCTCTTCTTACTTTCCCAATTGTAAGGGAGGTCTCCTTTCTCAGACAATGATCTTAAATGAGCAGAAAGAGTGGTAAAGTTGGGATCGGCAACTGTAACTTCCAAGCTCCTACTGGCTAAATCTGGGACAGTTTAAGCACCAAGATAATTAAATACAATAATGAGTTGTAAGAAACAGGAGTCCATATTGGTAATAAATGGATAGATGGGAGAGAAGGGTAGGCCCTTGCTTAGAGTAATGCTGAGGGGCTGCTGGAGTTGGAAAAGCATCATTTTGTGACCAACATGCGGAGCAGAGCAGGTAAGAATCAGCCGTGGATGTTGAATCTAGGGGCAGTGGATGCTAAATGTGGGTGAGGAGCAGGCTATTTGCATGCTCTTAAAGACTGTCTCCACATTTTGTTTCTCCATTCATCTGTTGGGGACCCTTGGCTACTGTGAATAGTGCTGCTGTGTATATTTGTGACCAAGTATTTGAGGACCTGTTTGCAATTCTCTCAGTTCTACCCAGGAGTGGGATTGCTGGGATAAATGGAAGTCCGATGTTCAACTTTATTTTTCGGATGCTTTTCTGCATGTGGTTGTAGTGCCCTGGGGAGCCTGATGGGCCCTCACGCAGGGCTGGGCGCCAGGAGCTGAGCCCGTGTGCGTGTGCGGTGGGTGATGGAGCGCTGCTCCCACAGAGTGTCAGCGTCTTCCTGTTCCATCACCTTTCTTGGCCCCGCCCCCTAATCTATCCCTCTCCCCAACAGATGTGCCCGTGGAGAAGCTAGCCGCCATGCCTGCCTTGCGCAGCATCAATCTCCGCTTCAACCCGCTGAACGCTGAGGTGCGCGTCATCGCCCCGCCACTCATCAAGTTTGACATGCTCATGTCTCCAGAGGGCACGCGGGCCCCCCCACCTTAGGCCTCCCTCCTCATGCCCACCCAGAAGGGACAGAAGCCACTTGGCCTGGCACCCTGAGGGGAGGGAGTCCCAAGGGCCCGTGGGAGGCCAAGCTTGGAGGGCTGGGGATGGGTGGGCCCAACAGCGCGTGGGAGGGGGTGCAGCGGTCCAGGATAGATAGCTTAGAGCTGTAGAGGGTCCTGGAATGCCCAGAGGAGGAGGCGAGGTGGGGGCTAGAGCCAGGACTCTGGGCATTCATAGCCTCTGTGCAAACTTGGGCAGGCCCCCACCCTCTCTGAGACTTACAATTTCGGGAAAGGGCTAGCGGCAGTGGGTCTCTGCCTCCTTGGGCTCCTTGGAGGCCTTTTAGGGAACACACGCCACCAAGTCTTCAATTCCTCGGTATCTTCTGAGCTCGCAGCTGAGCATCGCTGAGCATTTCCTGGGCCCCTGTGGGTTGAGGCCTTGCTTCTAGTGCTGAGAGCCAGTCGCTGCCCTGAGACGAACAGAAGACAACCTGCATCTATTTATTGCTTCCTGAGAACCAACCCTTCTCCGTGCCCCATCCTGAGCCCTGTGGAGCCCTGGATGGGCAGGAGCCTGAACCAGGAGTTGTGGGAAAGCTGCGGAGAGAGTGCGGACGCTGCAGCAGGGCTGACGATGTTTACATAGGAGCCCCAGGGCCATCAGGCGGGGAAACTGGGGAGCAGATCAAGTTGGCGCCGTCCTTCCTCATGATTAAGAAATTGCTGGAGTGACCAGCTGTGCCTGGCACCACCTCGAGCTACAGGAGAGTGGCCCAGAGAGAAAGAAAGCGATTTGCGCCTGTGCCTCCCTCCGCACAGTCTCTCTCTGGCAGCAGCAGACTGGCTGCCTTGTCATTGGTTCACCTGGACGCAGGCGGCACTGTGGACCGTTGGATTGTAGTTGGCCAGCCTCCGGGTCACCACTCAAAGCCCTGATAACCTCGAAACTGGGGAGCAGATCAAGAAATTGCTGGAGTGACCTGCTGTGCCTGGCACCACCTTGAGCTACAGGAGGGTGGCCCAGAGAGAAAGAAAGCCATTTGCGCCTGTGTCTCCCTCCGCACAGTCTCCCTCTGGCAGCAGCAGACTGGCTGCCTTGTCATTGGTTCACCTGGACGCAGGCGGCACTATGGACTGTTGGATTGTAGCTGGCCAGCCTCCGGGTCACCACTCAAAGCCCTGATAACCTCGTCATTTCTAGGCTCTGAACCTGGAGCCTGGCCAGGCAGTAGGGTGACCTGCCATTCGTGTTTGCTCGGGACTTTCAGTGCTAACACGGGGACAGGACCGGCACAGGGACAACCGGTGGCTCCACCAGGTGAGGCCTGGCCTCTGGCTTCCTGTGACAATACCTGTGGTGTGGAGAACCCCTGACCTCTTGACCCTGCAGGCATCTACCTCCCACCTTCTCATCTGTGGAGCAAGCAGATCAGCCCACCTGGTCTGGACTTTTGTCAGAGTCTGTGGGAGATGCCTGAGTCCCCAGGACTTGGGGCAAACCAGGCCACCCAAATCCTACTTCCGTGCGCCAGTGGCCACTCTGCCACACTCAGAGCACTGACCCTTTCTCAGAATGTTCCCATTCTATTCCCAGTCCCCTCCCCTTCCCCAGCCCTGGGCTGCCCTGCCCAGGCCTCCTGTCTCTTGGCAAGAAGCTGACAGTTTGGGAGGTTGTAGGCCTGTCACCAAGCACTAGAGACTCAGCTGAGAACTCAGCATCCCAAGAGATGCCTGTTCACCCTGCTCATCTCTCAGGCCTGGTAGGTTGAGCTCCGGGAAAAGGGTTTCCAGGGCGAGGAGGCCAGATAGGATCTCCAGGGCTACGGAGTTCAGCCGGGGACAAGCGAGGGCTGCAGTCTAGCCCAGCCCAGCCTGGCCCCACTCACCGTGTCCTGGAGTGGGGTTTCTCCTTGTTGAAGAAGGGGTGCAAAAAGGCATTGTCTGGCCAGAGCCTGCAACTCAGTGTGGTCTGCATGAGCACCTATGGGAGCTTGTTAGAAACACAGGACCCCAGGCCCAATCCCAGACCTCCGGGATCAGAACCCGCACTCCAGATCCCCAGGGCTTCCTACAGGCACTTTACTTTTTAAGAAGCCAGGCCTGGGGTGGCCCTGGGGATGGCCTGAGAGTGAAAGGTGGAGTTTCTCAGCTTTCCCCCAACACCAAGTCTGTGCCCCTCCCTCCCTCCCTAAAGCAGCCCTGCCCTCCCCCCCCGGGCCTCTTAGATCCGTGGTCGCAAGCCACATGCGGCTCTTTGGCCCCTTGAGTGTGGCTCTTCCACAAAATACCACATGCGGGCGCACGTACAGTGCGATTGAAACTTCGTGGCCCATGCGCAGGAGTCGGTTTTTGGCCTGGGCGTGTCTATTTTGAAGAAGTACTGTTGATATTTGGCTCTGTTGACTAATGAGTTTGCCGACCACTGTCTTAGATCTGTCAGAGTCTGTGTGGCACTCCCACGAAGGGAGGACCTGGAGTCCCCTGGAGATGAGGGTTGGATTTGCCCAGCCCTCTGGCCTCCCTTTCTTTTCAGAGTCTGTGTGGCACTCCCTCGAAGGGAGGACCTGGAGTCCCCGGGAGATGAGGGTTGGATTTGCCCGGCCCTCTGGCCTCCCTTTCTGGTTCCCCCCTGAAAGCCAAGCTGCTACTTCCCCAGGTCCTCATCTCAGGCCTTCCAGAGGGGCTGTTTCTGGAAGCTGCGCCCTCCTCTGCATGGAGAGTGTGCCCTGGCCCCTCTGGGAACGCTGGGCAGCCGAGAAGCCCCAGATCAGAGCACAGTGTGAGCCCTTAGCTTCAGTCTGCAATAAAGAATGCATTGGTTTCACCTGCCTGTTGGTGTTTGATTCATTCTCACCACACAGGCCCCGTAGCCTGGGGGTCAAACCTGCCCCCCTGAGAAGAGGAGGGGCCCAGGGGCAGCCAGCAGGAATTGATGCATGCCCTAAAGCTGTGCTGCTGCAGAGCAGCTGTCAGCCCTGGGGAGACCGACACCTGGGGAAGGATAAAGGAACCCTGTTGTCCCCCAATTTTTCCCTTACTGATGCCAGAAATTACACCCTTAGCAATTCACTCCTCGGGTCCATGTTCTCAAAGAGGGGTCTGGACCAGCAGCTCTGACACCAGCGAGCTGGTAAGACATGCCAAGTCCCAGCCTAGACCCCCAGAGCAGACAGGCGGGCCCAGCGCTCCAGGTGTCCTGGTGCAAGTTGGAAAGCGCTCCTGGGTTCAAGGTTCAAGTCAGGTTTCTTTCTAAATCTGAAAGGCCAACCTGAGTTTGCCTGGAGTTTTAGGCCAGACACTCCATTATTTTCACTTAGCAAACACGTAGCGTAGGGGTACCTGGAGTGTCTGAGCAGGTTAGCGAGAATAACTCATTTAACCCCTGATACAACCCTACCAGCTCTGTGAGTGGACGTGTCCCTTCCCCTCTGGCCCCATTTCCTGTCTGTGAAGTGAAGGGCCTGCACAGGGACAACCTGGCCAAGGTCGGCCATTGGTCGGCTGCCCCCAGAGAGCTGCCCACTTTCCTCAAGAGGCTTCAACACCTTCCCAAAGACATGTTCTTCCTAATACTGTGGAGGCGGACCTGAACTCCACCCTGAGCTAGAGGCCCTCACCACCCCATCTCCCACCCCCACCCCCCAAGAGCTGCAGCTCAGCGTGCCCCAGCCCCAGAGAAGGAAACGCCTTGGGTTCTCTAAAGCACGGGTGGGGCACCTTCTTTCTGTCCAGGGCCTTGTGGATATTTATAACATCATTCTCGGGCCACACAGAATTACCAACTTAAAAATCAGCCTGCTGTGTTTGGTCAAACATTTAATTAACTCACCCCTCATGCCTCGGCAGGGCCAGACCAAATGATTTCAAGGGCCAGACGTTCCCCACCCCTGCTCTAGAGGAAAAGGTAAACTGTCAGAGTGAAAACGTTCTGGTCCAAACCTCTCCCATTTCACAGATGGTTGGAGTGACCTGCCTGAGGACATGCGGGTAGCTCCGGGCAGAGCCCACACAAATGCCCAGGCTTCCTGGCTCCTGCCCTGGGTGCCTTCTGGGGCCCTCGGTGAGTCTCAGTGATTGGAGCTTATCTGCTTAGTGCTCCTGGCCTCTCCTTGACCTGCTGCCCTACTTGTTCTGCGGGTGTGTGTCAGCCATTAGAACCCTCCCTGCCATGTAGAAGTGCAGATAACAGCACTGATCGCCTGCCTTGGGGAGAGCTCGCTAATGACCATTTCGAAGCACTTTGCAGGCAGTGCTCCGCCGAGGCTGGCTGGGGAAGGGAGGGGCCCCTCCTCCTCCCAGGCAGGGACTCTACCCTGGTCTAGACCTCAGCCTCTCTGCAGCCACCCTTCCACCTCCCTCCACTGGAGACTGGCCTCACAAACAAAATATGCAGAAGAATCTGGAAGATTGGTAGGATGTGTAAAAATAGTGTTAGCAACGCACCAAGCCCCAGCGACTGGAAGCTGGGGAAACTGGCAAAGACAGATTCTCCATGAGGAGACCAAGAAGGAATCTGCTCGGGCTGGGGGTGTGTGGTGTAACCTTCACTCACAAAGGAAGGCAGGGGCAGGGCAGAGCACAGGCCATGTTACTTCACATGGTGGCATAAAGGGCTTAAGGAGGAAATTGAAACCCGAAATAAGTGATAAGAAGGCACCAAGACACAAACAATTGCAGCCCAGATAAATGGCATCTCAGGGACCTGGAAGCGTTTGCAGATGTAATCATGGCCTTAAAGGAAATGACAGAGAATGAAGTGCCAGAAAACTGAAGATGGAAAATGTCCTGATTTCCACAAAGGATGGGAAGGTAGCTTTTTAAAAAACTCTGAGCGCCTAAGATTAATGTTGACCTCATTTATTAAAGTTCCAGGATAAATGATCAAACGTGTAGGAGACAATAAGCAATCACGCAGCTCAGCATTTCCTCAGAGGACACCCTGTGCACTTGCAAAGGTGTGCACGAGAACATTTCATCACAGTGCGACACTGGAAACCATCCAGATGTCCACAAATCAAGAAATCAAAGGTCAGACACACCTCCAACCGCATACTATGCAGACACTAAGAAGTGTGTCTAGCATCTTACTTACTGGTATGAAAATATGCTCACTGCCTACTGTGAGTAATCAAAAAGAGCAGGTTTTAGAACACATGTCGTATGATCCCCTTTAGGCAAAAGTACATGGGCTTATTATTGTTTATGTATGTAAAATACATGCAGAGAGAGAGAGAGAGAGTCACTGATATCTGTGTTTGGATTCTCCTGCTTCTGAAAGCGTACCCTCCCTAAGACCAAGACTTGGGTATAAGGTGTTGATTGGGGAGATCATGTGTGGAAGCAGAAGTCAGGAGAGTGAGATGGGAGAGGGAGAAAGGAATGCAACGGGGGCATTATTGAGCTGGGTTAGCTGTGGGCAACTAGGGGTTCTTCCCCTCTGGGGACCCTCCAAGAAAAACGCAAAGCTGAGCTTTGCCCCAGA